AATCCATGGCCTCTGGTCTGGTCTGAGGAGCAGAGACCTCAGACCTGTGGATCTGAGTGTCTCTGAGGCTCTGGAGATCCACCTGGTGCTCCCTCTTCTGCTCCTCCAGCATCTTCCTGGCCTCAGGTGACTGTCTCTCCAGGCGAGCGCTGTTCAGAACCTTCAGGTGGAGCTCCTTCCTCAGATCTTCTATGCTTTTCTCAGCTTGAGTTCTTGCGGAGTTGAGGACGATCCTGGTGCGTCTGAAAAACACCTGTCTACGCTCAGTCTGGAGCTGCTTCGTCTGTTGTCCCCCCTCAGTCTTTGTGAAGACCTTATCACGTTCTATGGTGGAGCTCTGGGTCTGTGAATCCATGGCCTCTGGTCTGGTCTGAGGAGCAGAGACCTCAGACTTTCTGGATTCAGACTGTCTCTCAGGCTCTGGAGCTCCACCTGGTGCTCCCTCTTCTGCTCCTCCAGCATCTCCCTGGCCTCAGTTAACTGTCTCTTCAGGCGAGCGCTGTTCAGAGCCTTCAGGTGAATCTCCTTCCTCATAAGTTCTACGCTTTTCTCAGCTTGAGTTCTTGCGTCCTCAACAGACCTCTTCAGAACTTCTCTTTCCTGCATATATGTCATCATCCTCCTCGTCAGATCTCCAATGATTTGTTTAAATCCGTGGATGTTGTCAGTATGGACAGTCACTTCCTCCTGGAGTTGCTTGTTCCTCCGTTGCTCCTCCCTCAGCTCGTTTCGGAGAACAGTGACCTCCTCGCTCAGCTCCTCCGTGATCTTTGTACTCTGAACCTTCTCCTCGTCCGAAGACCTCCTCAGACGTCGCATCTCCTCCTGCAGTTTACTCAGCCCTTCCTGCAGAACTCCCCTCGTCTTCCTCTCCTCCATCAGGTCGTTCTGCAAAGCTGTTGTCTCCTGCACCTTCAGGTCCAAAGCTCGTCTGGAGACCTCCACATTCTGTTTGGCCATGGACACTTCCTTCTCCAGCCTGGTTATGGTGACTTTCAAACTGACCATAGCTGGACTTCAGAGCATCGGTCACCATTTTGTACATGTCCTCCTTGCTCTTCAGCTGGTCCTGCAGGCTGGAGATCTTAGTGTTCTGCAGACAGAGGTAGGCGTTCAGGTCTGTCCTTTCCTGCTCGAACCTCTGGATCTGCTCCTTGGCCGTGTCCAGTTCTCGTTGTTTCTCCACAGCTTCCTCCAGAGCCTTTTGCACGCTGACTCTGTGCTGGACTCTGTTGCTGTCGTTCTCCGTGGAGTTGTCGCTGCAGAGAGTACGGTTTTGTTCTTCTGCGTGCCTCAGTTGTTCCGTGAGTTGCTGCACCAGGGCAGACTCAGGAGCCGGTTTCTTCTTGAAAAATCGCATCTTCTGAGCTTTGCTAAAACGCGTCGTCTCGTGTGAAGTTCAAGTGAAGTCTGAGCTGAAATAGGACCAGGGACCAGCCTTACAACTGGACTGAGTGATATCAAAGCCTGCAGCCGGCCAATCACGTTCGAGCAGAGCCTGTATCCACGGCGATGACATTTGGCGATCGCCGTGGATGCGATGATGTCAAAGTCGAGTTCCAGTCTTGTTTATGTTTGAAAAAAGAATGTTATTTAAGGTAAACAAATCTGAATTAACTTAATGTACATGAAAATTTAATAAAATTATAAAGAAAAAAAGAGAAAACTGCTGTTATACTAGACATTTAGAAATGAAGGTAACATGATTTGATGGATGAGTCATAAATCTAATCCAACACAACTTGTTTTAATCTGCGCTGAAGCAGGCGGAAACCGGAACTGTAATTTTCTACTAAAATATTTAAATTATATTTTATATTAATATTGTTAATTTTCTGTGGTGTCAGCAGCATCTCCAGCGTCTCTGTACGTGGCCCCTCCCACCAGAGCAGCACAAATGAAGACTTGTCTCTTTCCAAACGCTCTTAAAGGACGATCGTTTTGACTGTTGACCGTGACACCCTCATCAGAAAAATGTCCAACATGCCAAAAAAACTTATTAAGTTCATGTATTGACATTGTGTTGAAATTGTATTTTTCTTAAAGTTTCAGGTTGTTCATAATATTATAATATTTTGTAAAAGAAAGAGTTCATCAATTAAAAAAGATTTCTGTAATAGATTTGCGTTTCTCTGCACAAATATTTGAACTTATTGTTATTTTTGGGGTTTATATGCCATGAGTTTCCTGATTCGGCCCCTTTGGGATCAAAGTAGGTTGGATACGGCCCCCGGACCAAAATGAGTTTGACACCTCTGGTTTAGACGGTGACGGCGTTTTTGGGCTTAAAAACGCAAAAATCTGAAACCACCCTCTAGACTGAAAAATTTGAATACGCTCCACCGTAGCGTTTCCGTCTACACTGCCCAAGATGCAAAACTCTGGTCAGATCTGCTCACGTTGCGTACGCGATGCATGCCCAATCGAATTCCACACACTTTTGCGTCACTGTATGCATGCAGATTTCCTCCTGAAAACACTCGTCTAAACGTGGAATAAAGAGTGAAGACGCGACGCCACTTTTGCGTCTTCTGTGTATACCATCATCATATAAACATTAGCCTGATTCATCAGCCGGTTTTACTTTGTTTCACTTCGTACAAACCGTCTAACCTCGCAGTATTAGAATTCATTCTCTCGACGGTAGGCGGGTACTTTTTATCATTTAACCAGTCGCTGCCATTTGGTCTTGATGTATGTAATGCGCCGCTAACGGGGCTAACTGGTATATTACCGTATTTTCCGGGCTTTTAGGCGCTCTGGATTATAAGACGCACTGTCATTAAATGGTCTATTTTTGACATTTTTTCTCAAATAAACAAAACACAACAGTTCGATGGATCAGTGGGACTTTGTTTGTGCGTTCACGGTGACTCTGGGCTTTGTTCAGTTGTGGCGTGTAGGGAGGGTGCTGTCTGGGACCAACGGATTGTCGGCGTGTTCGCAGTGACTCAGTTGTTCAGTTGTGTCTAGAAGTGGCACATTGTGCTCACTTTTTCGGTTCGTTCCTCCGTTCCGTTCCTCGTCGGTGTGGAGTGATGAGTGTGTCTGTGGGTGTTTGTCGCTGTGCGGTCGCTCTCTGCTCCGTGTGTGTTTGCGTGTTCTGTGGGTGGTGTGGCTTTGTAGTTTACTGAAGTCGTGCTGGGACACCCGAGTGGATTCGTGTATAGGGCAGTCTGGCTTGCAGGGCCCGCAGTCGTTTTTTTGATGGGGTTAGAGGCTTAAGAGTGCGCCTAATTGCCCGGAAAATACGGTAAGCTTTTCCCAAATCCTGTAGGAAGAAGGACAATAACGTCTTTCCCCTTCATAAAATTCACCAAACATTCTCTTTGTTCCGGCTTTAAATCTTCAATCTCGGGAATTGTTGCCAACACAGAATATATGACTCTTCGCTGATTGGTTGGTGCCCGATCTCACACTTCCGGGATTTTTGCGAACCGTCTAGTGTATTTTGATTCCTGATCTAGTAGCTGGAGAGAAATGAAATTGAGCAGAGGCACTAGGTGGTGCCAGCCTGGCTATATAAACGTAGCCTCAAGCCTTGAATATGGGACAATGCAGAATTACTCAAACATACATGAATCAATCTAAATACAGCTAAGTAAACTACTGACGAAAAAACAGCATTAAAACATGATTAAACGCTTATATAACTGGATTTTACTTTATATGTCTGCATTGCAAAAGTGTCCCATCCACCTTTCCCCTTTACTCTCTTCCACAATCTCTCCCCCAACAACGTGCCTTCTGTTGATGTCATGCATTATGTAAGAGAAAATATTAAAGAAAAATATGAAGGATTAAATTAAGAAAGTGCCATTGTCTAGGGAGAGGTGGATATTGGATCTATTTATATTAAGTTTTTCTATGATCCAATTTACAATAGTTTTGAATGGTGGCATAGCAACAGCAGTGGCTTATCTCTGTACTTCAATTTGTGTAATATCTGCAGGGAGGAGGCTGTTAAGTTAATAAGAGAAATATTAAAAGGTTTAATTTAACGCATTCTTACTATTTTAGTCTTACAGGTCCAAAAACTGGGCACAAAATGTAATTTCTTGTGATTTTATCAGCCTACAACAAGTGGTGGTATAATTTTTCTCATGTAGTTAACCTTCATAATGACAAATAAATGCAGTTTACTGTACCAGAATAAACCAGGACTGAACCAAGAGTAAAGACAAGAACTAAACTAGGTCTAAATCAGGACTAAAATGGGACTAAATCAGGACTAAACCAAGACAAAACCAAGACTAAATCATACTAAATCAGATCTAAACAATCTAAATAACAGATTAAACTAGAAAAGCACTCAGAGAGCGCAGACCTCCGCCAAGGTCTTCTGGATCAGATCCGGATCAGCCTTTGGAATATGAAAGAGGATCCCATTGTCCATCCCTGAGTCAAATTTCATGGGGTTTGGTCAATAATTAACCGAGATATTGAGAAACAAAATTTTTGGCCCCATTTACCACAATGTTAACTAAAATTTCAAAGTGATCCAGAATCCAGGATTTCTTCCGGATCAAACCCAAAATGAAATCAGTTCTTCCTTTTCACATTTCCAACAAATCCTGAAAATTTCATCAAAATTGGTCCATAACGTCTTGAGTTATGTTGCTAACAGACAAAACAAACAAACAAACAAACAGACAAACGCCGGCAAAAACATAACCTCCTTGGCGGAGGTAATTAATACCAAGGCTAAAGACCAAGAATAAAGACCAGTAAACAAGGCTTAAACATATCTAGAACTAAACCAGGACTAAACCAAGACTAAAAGAGAACTAAAACGAGACCCAGGATTAAACCAAGGTTAAAGAGCAGCAAACTGGCAGCTAAAAGTGGACTAGCATATCTAGAACTAAACCTAAGACAACCTAGGACTACAGAAGACTTAAGGAGTACTAAAGCAGGACTAACTCAATAGTCAAGTAAATATACAGTGCAATGAAGTGCGTTCTTCATTAAATATTGTGTGTTGTGTTGTGTGTTAGCAGGGGAAGATGTGGCCTCTCCGTGCAGTACGCCCTCCTCCAGCTGGGAGAGATGCAGCTTTGCAGAAGGTAAAGGACCAGGGCTAAACCAGAACTAAACCTAAACCAGGACTAAATCAGGATTAGACCAAAATTTAACCAAGACTATATCAAGACTAAACCAGGAATAAACCAGGATTAGGCCAAAATTTAACCAGGATTAAACTGAGGCCTTTGCAGAAGGTTGAACAGAACAGGCTGATGTCAGACTGCACTGGACTAAACCGGGGACAAACCAGGAACAAACCAGGAATAAACCAGGTCTGAACTAGGCCGAAAGAAGGGCGAAAGAAGGGCTAAATCAAGATTATACCAGGACTAAACAAGAATTAAACCAGGCCTAAACCAGGCATAAACAAGGGCTAAATCAAGACTAGACCAGGATTTAACCAGTCATAAACCAGGCCTAAATCAAGTCTAGACCAGGACTAAACCAGGACTAAACCAGGACTAAACCAGGGATAAACAAGAGATAAACCAAGACTGGACCAGGACAAAACTAGGTCTAGACCAGGCCTAAACCAGGACTAAACCAGGACTAAGCTAAGACTAAACCAAGACTAAGCCAGGACTAAACCAAGGCATTTGCAGAAGGTAGGGAGCTGATATCAGACTGTACTGAGGTGTTGTGTTTTCATTGACTTCATGTTCTCTGGTTTTACACAAAAACTATGTCAGCATTCCACACAGCCAAATGCACTTTAAAGAGTTAAAGTCATGACAAACTACAACTGTCCTTTTTCCCAAGGATGTAACAAGATTTGAATCCATGTATCATTTGATTATCACATTATCCAAACTGGGATACCAGACTTTTTGCTTTGAAATGTGTAAATATGTGTATTTCCCTACTTACCTAAGCACTACCTGCTGTTTGCATCCAAAACATTGAATCATTGGTAAAGTGCTAATGTTGGAGATGAAAGGGCTGGCTGTGCAATGACGGTCCGCCCTGTTTCACTTCACCTTCTCAAAAAGCTGTTAGTAAGCTGTGCATGCACCAAACATTTACAAAGGGGAATAGAAACAGTAATGGATTCTTGTGAGCTTGAAGGCATGTTAAAATTTTGTTACCTCCTCGAAAATATACTTGGAGTTGTGTTCTTTATTTTATTTTTTTACATATTACGTGTTTGAGTAATCCTCCAGTATAAGGCTGTCTGCATCCCCAAAGCTCAAAATGCTCTGTTCCACCATGTGATGTCATGTAGTGGTAGTTTTCAAGTTAAGCTTTACATTTTGTTAAGTAGACATTGACAATTCCAGATCTGAAATTAGCCAAATGAGTCTAGTGGCATTAGAAGGTGGAACAGAGAGAACTGAGCCTAAATGTGCAGGGTTTGTGTGTTAAACATTTGTGAAACATAACTCCACGCATGTTTTTGATGAGGAAACAACATTACAACATAGATCAGAAAATTGTGTAATATGGGCCCTTAAAGGGACAGTCCGGAATTTTTCCTAGTGAGCCAGAGTATTGTAGACGTGTGGAGACACTTTTAGAAATATTCCATCCAGTCCTTGTATTTGCAGAGGTCACTGGTGCTAGGCTAGTGCATGTCAATGACCATAGTTATCCTGCTACTAAAAACAGTCTTACCCAGTCCACAAAACACGCAAAACAAAAACTATTATTACACCAGACTGTCCATGTAAATGTCTGTGTTGATAGAATAATTTTAGAATTAAAACCAGCCTTGCATTTGAAGGATTTATGTCTGAGCAGCAGCAGTGAGTTGTACTTCCTGATAGAAAGTTGGCAGAGGCGGACTGATATATGAGAAAATAGTCCCTCAACATGCGATGATTCGATGCCAGTTTAGTTTTATTTCACACATTATTCTATCAACACAGACATTTACATCGACAGTCTGGTGTACGTCTCCAACACTCTGACTAACTAGAAAATGAGGTCCTTTGTCCAAAATTCTGGACTGTCCCTTTAAGTTTAAAACTAGTCCTTAGGTCTCACCAGCCTCTTGGTATTCACATAATAATTATTTGTCCACAGCTTTAGAACAACTTTTTCAGACAGAAATGTGAAACTAAATGGGCTACCCTTGGACAGCCAATCAGCTCTCATCCCAAAGTGTCATATAGTGACTTACATAGCTCATGGCTCAAGTTTACAATAAATAAAATGTTTTCCAATTAGATGAAGGCAGCAACTGTCTGTCTGATATTTGTCACAAAGTTTACTTTTGCTTTTACAGTCCATTTTCGTGGGGGAAAATACTTGGGTATTTCAGTTTAAATAGTCATATTTAGTAGGGATGTAACAGTAACCGAAATATCGTGATATCGTATTGTCAGAGTTCTCGCAATAATATCATGGACCATCACAATATATCGAATTACAACAAGTCTCTATGCTTAAATGAAAAGTTATGGTGTGGCAATAGCTAAAAAGAAAGACAGAGGGAACTACATAGACCATGATCCTTTGCTGCATTTCAGTGCAGACTACAAGAAGAAATAACAGTTCTAACACTTTTAAGTCTCAGTTCTTTGGATTAAATCTTGTTAAGGCATTTTAAGAGGAAAAAGTAGCATATTAACAGTTTGTTGTTTGTTGCCTCCACAAAATATCACAATTAATATCGTACCGTGAGATGTATATCGTGAAAATATCGTACCGAGAGTTACATCTGTAATCGTGAGACTCCCCACTATATCATGAGCTTTCAACAATATCGCAATAAATATCGTACCGGGAGGTTCCAGTGTTGGGAAGGTTACTTTTAAAATGTATTCCCTTACAGATTACAGATTACATACCCCAAAATGTAGTTTGTAACGGAATCCATTAAATTACTTAAGGTGAGTAATGTAATCTGAATACTTTGGATTACTTGATTTGCTGTAGAGAAGCAAAGACGAGGAAATCTTCACATAAGATGTTTTGTTTGCTAAAAGAAAATAAAAAAAGTCCAGTCTTTACTGAACCGTATTAAAAATATTACTGATTTATTCCAACAAGTTTAGCATGTCTTATTTTTATTTAATTATTTTATTTTACATTCATTTATTTACTTATTTTTATGATGATTATTATTATGGTTTTGTTTTGCTTTTTAATCTGTTATTATAATTATTATAATTATAATAATAATAATTAATTATTATTATTATTATTGTAAATGTATAACCTCCTAAGTCATTGTTATTGTTTTTGTTCTTTTTCTATATACTAATACTGATACATATGCATTGTCTATTTTAACATATAAGTAACCGGCTTTGTAACTGACCATAATGCACAAGCTGTGATATCTTAAACTTAATAAAAACTAAGTTAAAAAAAATATATATATTACTGATAGAAGAAGAGGAGACACGGTCCGCGCAGCATGGTTTAGTCCTGTTAAATCCTGTTCAGACCTGGTTTAGACCTGGTTTAGACCTGCTTTTAGACCTGGTTTTAGTCCTGGTTTTAGTCCTGGTTTAGACCTGCTTTAGACTTGGTTTTAGTCCTGGTTTAGACCTGGTTTTAGACCTGGTTTTAGACCTGGTTTAGACCTGCTTTAGACTTGGTTTAGACCTGGTTTTAGACCTGGTTTTAGACCTGGTTTAGACCTGCTTTAGACTTGGTTTAGACCTGGTTTTAGACCTGGTTTTAGTCCTGGTTTAGTCCTGGTTTAGTCCTGGTTTAGACCTGGTTTAGTGTTCGGCAATGAGTGGTATTACCCCCCCCCCCCAAAAAAAAGGGAATAGCCCAAAATGTGAAAACAGGAAAATACCGCCGTGTAATTCATTTATTTCAACAAAGTAACTGTAATCCAATTACCACTCACTGAAACAGTAACTGTAACTGAATACAGTTACTCATAATTTGTACTCTGATTACATAACTCCGGTACATGTAATCTGTTACTCCCCAACACTGTGAAGTTCATACCGCTACAATATCGACGATAGACTTGGATATCGTTACACCCCTAATATTTTGACATTTTTGTCTTAATGTCACTGATCTCTTTATGCTAACATCCCTGAAAGAAATCCAGTGAAGGACACACATTTTAAAATAAATACTGCATTTAGACCCCTTGGCTTGACTGCACTGAAATCTAAATCAGTACAATAATATGCAAGTAAAATGGCAAATCACAGGAGCTGCAATTATCTCTATGGTAATGGCTAACCCTGCAGGCACTCTCAAATATTAATATTATTTTCTGTTCAGTTCAAAATGCACACAATTGTAGAATAAATTGCAGTTGCTGTGTGCCATTTTACTCCTGTAGCTGTTTGTCCCTGGGCAGTTTGTTTGAAGAAAAGTCTGAACTCTTTATTTTCTCGTTTCCCGCTCCACATGTACCTCTCCTCAGTCTCCCAGCGGAGTCCGTCTGTGACCTCGGACCAGTCGCAGAAATCAGTGGAAAGCCTTTTCTCTGCCAGGTAAACTCTGCTTCAATTTAACTGTGGAGCTGCTGGACAAACACACATTTTTTACTTCAGGGACTAAAGACATACAAATATTAGACCTGTCACAATAATTACTATATCAGCTTACAGTTCAATATATGAAAGCTGGAACAATAGTATTTATCGTGTGTATTTTTTCTTTGTACTACCTGGAAAATGTTAGTTATTTTTTTCTCTATATGATGAGATTTGAGTCATGTAGGGGTGAATTAATCATTATAGATGAAGTATTAATGTGTTTAATTGTACAGTTTATTTATTGCATTTCATATTTTTAACAACATTGTACATTTAGAATAGTTTTTGAGGTTTAAATCTGCTCTTGGGCTTGTGTCAGTGGCATAAGTTTAGTTTCAATATTATCGTTTATCATGTGTATTTACTTCAGCAAGATATTTCACTTCAAAATCCTGACAGGCCTAACACATATATTGCATCAAAACAAAAATGGAGAAATAATTGTTTTCTTAGAGCCACTATTTCACAGTTCAAGTAGCCATGGCCTTAAAAATGAAGAACCATCCATTTCTTTTTAAAGGTCCATGTAACCTTTCCTGTGGAGGACAAATTGGTTATTGCTTTGCCTAGAATGTTCCCCAGCATTAAACTTCTATCTTCACGGAGATGGACCAGGTCAAGTTACAGGTCAGCTCTGTGGAGAAATGACCCCATTCACAGTAAGAATGCCATTTCCTTGGTAAATGGTCACCTTTTCTATAGTGCTTTTCCACCTTAAAGGCACTCAAAACGCTTTACAACAAGGAAATCACTCATTCACACACACACTCATACACATTCATAAAGAGACACTAGGGGTTAGCTGAGCTAAGTGTCTTCCCAAGGACACAACAACAACAGCATTCATCTGTGGAAGCTGCAATCACACCAGCCAACCTCCAATGGCCCAATGATGTTTATGTTGAGAGCAGGATTCCACCGGCCATCGGATCTCTACCAACTGAGCCACTCTTTAGCAATAAACCACTTGCAGTTGTAAGATAGATGTCTTTGAGGCCATGCTGTGGAACATTCCAGGCAAAACATTTCCATGGAGACAAGCATATGGAGAACTACCCCCCTGAAAAGTGACATAGTGCATCTTTAAAGATCTGACCAGTTGGAGAAGAGGGTTGGGGAAACGCCAACTCACAGTGTATCACCAAAATGGCAATCACAATTTGTTTTATACATGGACCCAGTTTATGATGGGGGCTTTTAGGGACCCTCACAACACTATACACATATGTGACTCAATACACACTAGGCCTGTAACAATAATCAATAAATCTATTAATTGCTTGATAACTTTTCTGGCGGCGATTATTTCTATTTGCAAGCTTGTTTTTTCCTCCTCTCTTTCTATACCAAAGAGGCTCAATGTCAAAAGGTTTTAATCGCCCTCTACTGACTCCTCTCATTTCTTTAGTGTAATGGCACTTGAACGAATGTGTTAATTAGGCAACTTGCCCGAATGGACTGTATAAAAAAAGTCAGTGTCATGTCACCCACAGCGTTCAGCACCACTCAAATGAAGCTCGTGATGCTAAAGGTTACAGGAGGAACGTGGAGCCAGGCTCAATATTAGGAATAGGATTTTTTTGACAGACAAAATAGCAAAATTGGATCATGTAGAGCGGGTTAATACCAACATTTTAAGACCAAAATGACGAAGCTCAGTGCAGCAGTTGCAGAGAGCGGAACCTCAATATTCCAATGTAAGTCAATGGGAGCCAGGTCAGAAGGAGCTGGAAGAGCCGTATGTGAACTTCCTATTTAGAACGTGGTGGCTACCGTGTTAAATATGTCCATTTATATATACGGTCTATGCTGCCAGTCACATGGTCTCATACCACCACTGAGTAGAGAGAACCTCGAGGAGCAGAAAGTCACAAGTTAGTTGAGATTTGAAAACAAATGGAATTTAGTTTCAAAGTCAAACACAAAAGCTGCAATGTGAGACCACTTTGGATTCCATTTGCATTCCATGGTCATTATATTAGTTAGAAAATATAATTTCTTGGTCAATTAATCGTCCAGCAAAATCTGTTATTGTTACAGGCCTAGTACACACACCCACGTTACTACCCCAGAGCTTTAATCGTACCACACTTTCAAAGCAGCTCCATAAAGATCTCACTCTACTGTTTATGAATAGAGAATATATACAGTAGTAAATACAGTATATAGTTAATTGATAATTATTATCACACCACCTCCTTGTGTAGTCAGTAAACAGTTATTTTTACTGATGGCTTGATTAATTAATCAATTATAGGATGCATCTGATGCCACCAACATCACCAACGCCACAGTCGAACTAAAAATAATTAACATAAATTACAATTAGAAAATATAATATAAAAGACACAAAATAAAGACATTAACAGTTACGAAAAACATACCTTGCTGGCTGACCCACACTTTGGAGGTAGAATGACCTTTTAACATAAGTTTATTCACTTTATTTTAACTTTAATTGTCTTGGTTTGCCGACACACCACACTACTGCTTCTCAACCAGGCGTGCGTCTCTAACAAGGGTCCAGCGGAACTAAACAAAACAACACCAGTTCTTACCTTCTGACTACCAAAATAAAAGCACAAAATCCTCTCTGATGTGCATACCACACACTATTCAAGAATTAAATAAAAAGTAAATCAAAATTATGGCAGTAAAAATTATGATAAAAGAGGAAATGTTTCGTTCTTGAGGCCTTAAATTGCAAATTGTGAGAATTATGTTGCATTCCTTGTAGTGATGTGACATTTATGACCAAGTTGGCTCCATGAATGGTTGAAATCTGAGCAATCTTCTTCTCTAAGTATTCTGTATGTGCATTGAATCTGCAACTAGATATTAAGCACATCTAAGGACAATTTTTTTATTTTTTTGCTTCAGTTTTACACCGATTCACATTAAACCAACACAAAAATCAACACAGAAGCAAAGTAGGCAACACGACAGAGAGCTTTTGGCCAAAAAACATATATCGCCATCATAATAATACTTTGTTTAATAATGTTTTACTTACGCTGCATCATTTCAAAGGGTAAACACACCCCCACTCACAGTTTGAACCATTTTAAACACATCTGAGCCCTTGTGGATAAAACGAGTTCTCACATTAGCTTCTGTCATATAAACAACTATGAATAGAGTCAGACCTTTTAACGGCTCTTTGAAATGAGCAGATCCAAAAGTGTAGACCCATCACTAACTCGTAGTGCCTTTACGTTAGAGGATAATACAGACACCTCGCTCGCTCCGCGCTCACAGTAATGGCTTAAATGGAGCGTGGTCTCATTGCTCTTCTCTGTGCTCAGACTGGCCCTGAGCCGGACACGCCTCCTGACCAGAGCCGCTAAAGGATTCATGTGTCGATCTCACAGCAAGTCTGGAGATTCTATTGGAGATGGAGACAACGAGAACAAGGACTACATCCCTCTGGTGGGTAACAAGGACAGCTGAAAGACTTATTATAATGTTTTTGCACTAAAAATGTACTGGAGGCTCAGTCCACCTCAGTTCACCCAGTGAGTTAAACCCTACTTTGTTACATTTTGATGAATTTGGTATGTAGGGAAATCATAGCCAGAAAAGCCACAATTTCATGTTTTAGTTTGATTGTACCAACAATTAGCCTGATTCATCCCTCGCAGTGTTAGAATTTGTTTGCTCGACAGTAGGCGGGTACTTTTTGTCATTTAACCAATCGCTGCTATTTGGGCGTGACGTACGTAATGCGCCGCTAACGGGGCTAACTGGTATATTAAGCTTTTCCCCGACCCCGTAGGAAGAAGGGCAATTTCCCATGATAAAATTCACCAAACATTCTCTTTGCCTTAAATCCTCGATCTCGGGAATCATTGACAACACTGAATGTATGTCTCTTCGCTGATTGGCTGGTGCCAGAACTTGCACTTCCGGGGTTTTTGCGAACCGTCTAGTGCAGGGGTGTCAAACTCAAATTCACAGAGGGCCAAAATTAAAAACTGGCACTAAGTCATGCGCCAAAATAATATATTTTTTGAAAAATTTAAACAACGTCTGCATGATTTCTCTTCTTTCGAGATATGTAATGTTAAACTTTTTCTTATTAAAATAAAAGTTTGATAATTTTGCTTAAACATTGAATCCAGAACAAGCGTAAAATAAAATAGTAACAGAATTTGAAATAAATAATGTCTATAGGCTCTGTAGCTCTACTTAATATCTGATATGATCTTGCGGGCCAAATATAATTATATCGAGGGCCAAATTTAGCCCCTGGGCCTGACTTTGACATGTGTGGTCTAGTGTATTTTGATTTCTGACCTACTTGCTGGAGAGAAAAGAAATTGGGTGGAGGCACTAGGTGGCGCCAGCCTGGCTAACCAACAGTTTCTGAGATATCGTAATTTAATTTTACTTTTTTGCATGGTCGCTGAATTTCAAATAGCATTTACTCAGCAACTACTGGTCCGATATCAAAAACCAAGGTATCTCTGGAAAGGGGAAATCATAAGGAATCCAAATCTTGAAATTGACAATATGGGACACTCCCTTATTGGTAAATTTGTATGAAAATAAAAAAGAAAACCCCTCCAGATTTTTTATATGTTGTAGTAGACATATAGGGCTACATTTTTTCTATTGCTGTCATTGAGGTCGAGCATGTCCTTTATTGTCAATTTCAAGGTCAAAATATAGGTCAAAAGGTAATTCATCTCAAACTCAACTGCAAAAATAAATGCCAGATTTGGATTCCTTATGATTTCCCGTTAACAGACATATCTTGGTTTTTTACATCAGACCAGTAGTTGCTGAATAAATGCAATTTGAAATTTGGCGATCACGCAAAAAAGTGAAAAAATTTAATTGGGATATCTTGGAAACAATTGGTCCGATCAAACTAAAATGTGAGATTTTGGCTTTCTTGGCTATGACTTACCCATACAGCAATTTTCTTTGCAATTGGACAATGTGAGGGTTCATATTGCAATTTTTTTGGGGTGAATTGAGATGGAATTACCCTGGAATGAATGAATGTGTGTTAATTTGCAGTAGTAAGTATCCTACACATAAATGATTCTTGTTATTCTTAGCTCTACAAAATGTAATAAGGTGTAAATAGGACTGGAGAATAAAACAAGGTCCCACCCACAGAGGAGACACAGGGAGGAGAGAGGATATAAACTCCTCACAGAGATCAATAAAGTTTGATTCTTTTCTCTGATGTCTGCCTCCTGAAGCCTCCCCCATGTTTTCTCCTTCCTTTTGTGTTTTTCTTTGGGACCCCACTTAATATGACACATTTGATTGACAGCTGAAAAATGGAGGCTGGAGGAGAGGAATCAAGGACAAGGAAGCGAGGAAAAAGAACTGAGACATGGCCATCGACTTTTTATCGCTGCTATTGAACAGTCAAATTTAGAGAGGCGCCGATCCAGTTTTTTTTTTTTTTTTTTTTTTTTTTTTCGATACAGATTCCAATAATGTAGCTCTAATTATCTGCTGATTCCCATTATCAACCGATTCCAGAGACTGAAAAAGTCCTTTAAACAAAAATAACATAAGACAAAACTGACCCAAGCTCTTATTTATCTCTCAAGTAACTACAGAATAACTTTGTAAAAATAAAATCAATTTATGGAAGCTGATATCCGATCCACCAAATAGTTCAGTATCAGCGCCGATATCCAATACCAGTATACCAGTATCGGATCGGTGCATCCCTAATGAAATTTCTTTCTCCAAACTCCAAACCACATACGTATACTGGTTTTAGGAATCTCCATTAAAAAGACCAAATCATGATCACTGACAATTTGAAATGACTGAATCTAATTAAAACAATTTCATTTAATCAATTAAAATCTCTCATTCGTTTGCACAGCCTAAGCAAAAAGCAAGTCACAATAAATGTATAATATAGGTCTTTTAAGTGCTATTGTGTAGAAAATATTAGCCAGGCTGGTGCCATCTAGTGCCTCTAGATCAGACTGATGACTAGATCAGGAATTACAATACACTAGACCAGGAGTGTCAAACTCATTTTGGTCCGGGGGCCGTATCCAACCTACTTTGATCCCAAAGGGGCCGGATCAGAAAACTCATGGCATATAAACCCCAAAAATAACAATAAGTTCAAATATTTGTGCAGAGCAATACAAATCTATTACAGAAATCTTTTTGAATTGATGAACTCTTTCTTTTACAAAATATTATAATATTATGAACAACCTGAAACTTTAAGAAAAATTTAATTTCAACACAATGTTTTAACATGAACTTGGATGTAAATAGGAATAAGTCCATTTTTTTTTGTTGTAAAATCCTGCACTCGGCTCCACTTTTCTCATGTTTGACATTTTTCTGATGAGGGTGTCACGGTCAACAGTCAAAACGATCGTCCTTTAAGAGCGTTTGGAAAGAGACAAGTCTTCATTTGTGCTGCTCTGGTGGGAGGGGCCACGCACAGAGATGCTGGAGACGCTGCTATGATAAACACCGCAGAAAATACAAGATTTTAAAAGAAAATATAATTCAAATATTTTAGTAGAAAATCAGCAGAGGGCCACATTAAAGGTCTTGGAGGGCCGGAATCCGCCCCCGGGCCTTATGTTTGACACCTGTGCACTAGACGTTTTGCAAGAACCCTGGAAGTTTTAGACCGCGCACCGACCAATCACCGAAGAGCTCTGAAGTCATGATGTCAAACTCGTCGAGTCTGTCTGGGTCCCTTTTGTGATACAGCACAACAGTAAACAAAGAGGTCGAGATGGATGTAGACGAAGACAGACAGTCTGTGTTGGCAACGATTCCCGAGATCGAGTATTTTCACTCTCTGCTTTGTTTGTTGTTGTGCCCGCAGTTACTTGGACACCACTGAGAGTTCCGGCACATTACATATGTCACGACCAAATAGCAGCCATTAGTTGAAATAAAAAAGTACCCACCTACTGTCAAGTGAACAAATCCTAATGCTGCGAGGTCAGACGGTTTCCACAAAGTGAACCGGCTGATCAATCAGGCTTTGAAAATATGCGCTCTACATAGAACAAGATATCTGGTCACTTGTTATAGTTTTGTTCTGATACCATTTTCTGGGGATCTGATCCTATACCAATAGTATGAAGAAAACTAAGGCTACTCAATTTTGTAATAGTTTAAGAGAAAAAAATGATGCTCCTAAAAGGTTATCTCTAAAGAAAATGCACAAGAGAGTGATTTTGAGAGCTAAAGTCTTAGAGACATATGTATATTGATTTAAGTGCTTTTACTTTTCTACTTCATCACTTTCTACCACAGAGCGGATAAAAAATAGCAGTGAGGCCTGTTCAAAGACTCTCATCCTCAGAGCACATGGGTAATTATGCAGAGAAAACCCAAAGTCTGAGTTAGTGCTGTCTAACTGTTGTTGGGCTGCACTCTCCCATGTCACTAAAGGCTAAATAAAGGAATCAAAGAGGTAACACAAATATCCTTTCTGTCAGTAGGAGTGTGTTTTAAGTGTCTGCAGAGCCTCCACAGTCTGTGTTTAACCTGCTCTGGGCGTTACAGGTCAGAAATCTGAATACACTAGACGGTTTGCAAGAAGTGGAAGTCTGGGCAATCAGCAAAGAGCCATACATTCTGTGTTGGCAACGATTCTCAAGATCAAGGATTTAAAGCCGGAATAAAGAGAAAGTTTGGTGAATTTTATCAAGAGGAAAGATGTTTTTGCCCTTCTTCCTATACTGTATTTGGGAAAAGCTTAATATACCAGTTAGTCCCGTTAAATAGAAGCAATTGGTTTAATAAAAAAGCAAGCGAACGAATTGTAATGCTGTGAGGTCAGACAGTTTCTACAAAGTGAAACCCGCTGATGAGTCAGGCTAGTTACAGGTAGCATTAAGGCCCAATTATAGTTCTGAGTCGACTCAATGTGCACTGTCACCATTGCCTTGTTGCCGTCATTTCAGATTTATGGATCTGCATCGAGGTCTATGCTCCACGAAGTAATTCACCACCACAACACTAGGGGGCTAGGATTGCATTCATGTAAACTAATTGAAGACGCTCTGCAGAGGGGGTTCACACTGACGCAGACTCTCTGTGTCGTGACGCAGATGATTTGACACATGATCATAAATTGAGCTTTAGTCACAGACAACAGCTGCTGTTTGCATCTACAGCTCATCGTTGAGGAAAATACAGAGTGGTATTGGATCTGTGATTTGGTCTGAGTACTCGCCAATACTGATACCTGAAAACTGTGTGATACCAGTATTGATATCAGAACAAGCCTAGATTCTTACTGTGTTTAAAACCTGGTAACCTTGTATCTTGTATCTCTGTTAAATGTACACAATATCCTCTGTGCTGTCTCAAATGTCACAAATCTAAACCCAGTTGCTATATTTGTCCAAAAGCAGCAAATCAATGTTTGTACAAACTCGTTCAGCTGTGGAGCAGATCTCCAGCAGTGCACCTGAGGGTGTGCAAAGCTTTGTGAATACTGTCAGCAGGCAGGTTTTTATTACTCCCAAATCAGATTTTTTTATATTGATCATCGCAATTTTCAGTTTTAAATGACATGTAAAGGAGCATTGTGTAACTTTTCTGGGGGAGGGTCTGTCAAATACTTTTCTCCGTGGAGATGTTATTGCTTTATATTTGGTATTAAGCCTTTCTTTCTGTCTTCATGTCGGATCTGAGGAGAGGCGACCCTGTTCACAGTCAGAATGCTTGTTTTTGGGCTATAAAACCACCTGTAATTCAATAAATGTAAGGTAGAGCTGTTTATTGTCATATTATGGAACATTCCAGACAAAGCAATAACATCTCCATGGACAAAAGCATTTGACGGACCCTCCTCTAGAAACGTTACACAATGCACCTTTAAAATAACATTTAAAATTAAACAATATAGAATCAGATCAGTTTATTCAGTAAACTATCACATTTTGTAACTCTGCTCCAAACCACATGCTTTTACGCACAGGATTAGCTGTAGATGTCACCATTAAAAAGATCAGCTGATCATTGACAGCTTGTAAGGACAGAACCTAAGTACAAAGTAATAGAAACATGTATAATAATAGACCTTTTAAAGCTGGAGTATATATATTTTTTGTAAACGGGTAAATTTTGTTTATAGGCTCTAGTCACGTAGCCTGATTCATCAGCCGGTTTTGCTTCGTAGACCTTGCAGCATTAGGATTCGTTCACTCAACAGTAGGCAGGTACTTTTTTATTTAACCAATCGCTGCTGTTTGGTCATGACGTGTGTAATACGGGGTTAACTGGTATATTAAGTTTTTCCCAAATCCTGTAGGAAGAAGTGCAATAACGTCTTTCCCCTTGATAAAATTCACCAAACATTCTCTTTATTCCGGCTTTAAATCCTCAATCTAGGGAAACGTTGCCAACACAGAATATATGGCTCTTTGCTGATTGGCTGGTGCCCGGACTCTCACTTCCAGGGTTCTTGCAAACCGTCTAGTGTATTCTGATTCCTGACCTAGTCGCTGGAAAGAAATGAAATGCAGTGGAGGCACTAGATGGTGACAGCCTGGCTACTAGTCACGCTTACCGGAAGATGTTTGCTTGATGTTAATGATTTACTGCTGATCATTTCAATTTGTGACTAGACCCATTAACTCACTGTATTACAACAAAAATCTGCATGTCATTGTTAATAGTTTGCCCCCATCTGTATTAAATATTATTGGCCTTTAGAACTTTGTGCTGTCATCTGAAACCCAGCTATTAGGCCCAAATCTGAAGTGAATGGAAACCTGGAGGTGAATGTATTGCGTGTCGTTCTCTGGATGTGATTAGCTGCAGTGTTCACTCGCTCTAATACTCCTGAACAGGCTCAGGTGTGCCATGTGCAAAAACATGTGGGAGCCTTGAACAAATGCCAACCGGCTGCTCTATTTGTCAGAGAGAATTAAGGCTCACGCTGAAAGGGATGAAATGAAGAAATGTACTAAGTAATCGCAAACTCATGTTGAACTCAGGCCATGGTTTTATACTTTTAATCATAAGATTTCTTTGTCAAAGCAAGGAAAATGTGTGTCTTTATATTGGCTTTAACAGTTGCCCTTGAATTGAATAGACCATACTGAAAATATTGACCTGTATTTTCATGAGGATACAACCTCTTACCTCTAAATATTGAAGGTTATTATTGATTATTATTATGCTGTTATTTATCTTTCTGTCACTGTTTAAAACTTCAGACTTGGATTATAACTAAATCCATATAAATGTTGTGTTATAAATGGTCTGACGCTCGTGTGTGTGTCTTCAGGTGTCTCTGCAGTTAGCCTGTGGAGCCTTCCCTCTGGACCCCTCCCTGTGTGAGGCGGTCAGTGTTCCCATGGAGAAGCTCAAGTGGACGTCTCCGTTCTCGTGTCACCGCAGCAGCCTGAGTCGGCGCGCTGAGAGCCTGGAGGAGGAGCGCCGCGCAGAGCTGGACTCCTGTGTGCAGCCCACAGACCGCTCTGTGCAGAGCCCCTCCAGCGCCCCCTTCAGTCTGACCGAGATCAGCTGCTCTTTAGACAGCCCCTCCGCCCCCGCAGAGCTGCCCCTGTCCCCCGTGTCCCAGGGCGACCGCGCACAGAAGGAGGGTCAGGATGTGGAGAGCATGGTGTGGGCCACCGCTGTGGCTCTGGCCTGGCTGGAGCACAGCTCGGCCAGTTTCTTCATCGAGTGGGAGCTGGTGGCAGCTAAAGCCAGTCTGTGGTTGGAGGCCCAGGACGTCCCCGAGGGCAAAGATCTTGCCTCAGTGAAGGCTGCAGCAAATCAGCTCTTCATCATCCTCAGGCACTGGGACGAGAACCTTCACTTCAACATGCTCTGCTACCACCCCGACAGCGTCTAACTACCACCCCGACGGCGTCTAACTACCACCCCGACAGCGTCTAACTACCACCCCGACAGCGTCTAACTACCACCCCGACGGCGTCTAACTACCACCCCGACGGCGTCTAACTACCACCCCGACAGCGTCTAACTACCACCCCGACGGCGTCTAACTACCACCCCGACGGCGTCTAACTACCACCCTGACAGCGTCTAACTACCACCCCGACAGCGTCTAACTACCACGCCGACAGCGTCTAACTACCACCCCGACAGCGTCTAACTACCACCCCGACAGCGTCTAACTCTAACTACCACCCCGACGGCATCTAACTACCACCCTGACAGCATCTAACTACCACCCCAATGGCGTCTAACTACCACCCCGACAGCGTCTAACTACCACCCTGACAGCGTCTAACTCTAACTACCACCCCGACGGCATCTAACTACCACCCTGACAGCATCTAACTACCACCCCAATGGCGTCTAACTACCACCCCGACAGCATCTAACTACCACCCTGACAGCGTCTAACTCTAACTACCACCCCGACGGCATCTAACTACCACCCTGACAGCATCTAACTACCACCCCAATGGCGTCTAACTACCACCCCGACAGCATCTAACTACCACCCTGACAGCGTCTAACTCTAACTACCACCCCGACGGCATCTAACTACCACCCTGACAGCATCTAACTACCACCAATGGCGTCTAACTACCACCCCGACAGCGTCTAACTACCACCTCGACAGCATCTAACTACCACCCCGACAGCGTCTAACTCTAACTACCACCCTGACAGTGTTTAACTACCACCCTGACAGCATCTAACTACCACCCCGACGGCGTCTAACTACCACGACGACAGCGTCTAACTACCACCCTGACAGCGTCTAACTCTAACTACCACCCTGACAGCATCTAACTACCACCCCAATGGCGTCTAACTACCACCCCGACAGCGTCTAACTACCACGACGACAGCGTCAAACTACCACGACGACAGCGTCTAACTACCACCCCGACAATGTTTAACTACCACCCTGACAGTGTTTAACTACCACCCTGACAATGTTTAACTACCACCCTGACAATGTTTAACTACCACCCCGACAATGTTTAACTACCACCCTGACAGTGTTTAACTACCACCCCGACAGTGTTTAACTACCATCACTACAGTGTATAACCACCACTCTGAAACTGTCTCACTTCCACTCTGACAGGTGCCACCCTGACACTGGGTACTTTTACATGGCCACAAGATCTGATCAGTAGAGTAATTAGAAAATCCAACAGTAAAGTCTGATTTCTGGTGTGTTTACAGCACAGAGAAGTCACTTAATTAGTAGATTTTTTGAGCAACTGTTTTCTTTGGAACACAAAGTACAATTGATTTTTAAATTACTTTCTCAGTCTATTACAAATTTCTCTTTCTCTTTATTTTTTCATCGTTCTTTATATTTTACAATGCCTATTCATTGCTCATTTTATCTTAAATCATACCACTGGAGCAAGGTCCTAATTTGTAAATTTTGTTTACTGAAAATTGCAATACAACTTTTTGATTTTGAGATAATGATCAGATTTTTGGTGCGTGTGTAAACATACCAGTGTCTGAACTGTCCACCAGCCTGACAGTGTTTAATGCTTTGATAAGCCCCTGGCCTCCTCTGTCTCTTGTGTCCTGTGTAAAACTTAAACATATCATTGTGAGAAGCACCTGGACAGACTCTATTCTCTGGTGCCAAACTGTAGCAAAGACCAAACGGAGGACTTTAAAGACAGTATTGAAGTAGTAGCATGCTGGACCGCTCACCTTTCGTCATCATATTGATGTTCTGAGGAGAATGCTGCAAGTGTATTGTTCTAATAATGTACTTTTACATCTACAAAACTGTAAAACAAACAAACAAAAAAAAAGAAAATAACCGAGAGCATCACTCTTTTATAAGGCTTCTTACCGTGGCTGTATTATTCATATTATCCATTTTAGCAGAATAATTAAAATATGCAAAGGCACATATTTGGGATAAACTGGGATTTTGTGCATGGCATTCCTGTCCTTTTCACTGATGGTCCACTCTGTGTTTGCTCCCTGCGCTCTCTCGCCGCTTCAAGTGCATATGACACGTTGTGGATTCAAGTTGAAAAGAAAAGTAGAAAAACAGGAAGTCGAGCTGCGTTGTAAAACAGAATCCCTCTCGCTATGTCATCAGCACGGTCCATCCAAAATGCAGGGACAGTGTGTGGAAAAAGAACACATCTTCTGACATTTGAAACTTTTCTTAGTAGGCTAATCATAACTATTGTGTAAACTGTGTGGGTTTCTGCCTTTTATGGTTGCTTGGTAACAGTTATGGAGTTATCGCTCTTATGTCATATCTGTATCCCCATGTTCAACCAGGGACATGACAGACAGGCAGACAGTTAAGCGTTTGTCCACTGACCTACAGGTTGGCAGTCCGATTCCAGTTCCCACAGCAGGACAGCCCCAGTGTGTGTGTACACTGGTGTGTGAATGTGAGTGGATGTAAAGCGAGTGCCTTGAAGGTGGAAAAGTGCTGTATAAGTAAACTGATCGGCTTTATCAAAAGGCTATTACATAATTCTAGTTCTGGTCAAGATTTATAGTAAAATATAATGATGTTCAGTAGGGCTGGGTACCAAAACACAGTTCCAAGTGGTACCGAAAAACTAGGGCTGAACAATTTTAAGAAAAAATTTTAAAGCAATTTTTCTGGCAGATATTGCGATTTTGATTTCATCCACGATTTTTTTCAAATCAAGTTTTATTGCACATGAATATTTACAAACATCACAGAAAGTTGCATCATACCAAAGTCCTGCACTGACGATTTGATGCCGGATTGCCACATTTGTTTACGTTTTACAGAAAGTAAACTTAAAACCACATGGCTCATTTGCAAAAACTATATCGCTGAAAAAAAACAGCTCGCTTCTTGTGCCCTGATGCGGTTCAGCTTCTGTCGGACTAAAGGACGCGACTCAGTGGAATATGAGTGTTCTTTCTGTGACAGAGGATGTGCTGCTGATGGTGAGTCTGTTCTGTGCTTCTGTCGCATTGGAGATGGTTCATGTTAAACTTTACACGGACACCGGGTTTAAATCCTCGCCTCCTAGTTTTAAATTAGGTAAATTACTTTGCAGCGCATAGACCTCGACACAGATCCAAAAATCAAAAATGACAGTGACAAGGCGACGGCAGCATTGTTGATGCAAAACTATACTTCGCCCTTAAAATTGGGCTTCAGGAGCACTGCTAAAAAAACGCGGCTTGGAAGCTCCCAACATCGTCTTGTCTGAGATTGTGATTTTTGGTCCAAAATGGTAGATCATTCAGCCTTACTAAAAACCAATGTTTGTTTGGTTCCAAATTTCAGTTCTTTGGCTTTACATCATTGAGCCAGTAAATACCACACCAATTGTGCTCATGCGTCATGACAGGACTGAAATGTATGACACAAGCGACATGTTTAGCATAGTCCTATTACATCTGTCCACGCAGTGCGTCATCTCACCACTAAAACAGACGAGGTCCGAGCGCTGCCTTTCATATACAGCACCATGTGTGTTCATCTGGTTCATTTGCATGAGCATATGTTTTGAATTATAATTGAATATAGTATAGCCTCGAGTATGTTTAAAATATGAATTAACATTAATATTATAAAGGCTTGAAAAGTATTTTAATTATATTGGCCATTAATTTACATCAAAAAAAGAACCGTATAGAAACCAATATCAAAAAGAAGATATTGCACTGGTATCGAAAAAAATCAAAGTACTCTGCCGTAATGTTTACTCTGACTACTTTTAGTGAAATAAACCTGTCACATGCACTTAAAGCAGAAGCCGAGGCAGAGACACTGCTCACTTACCCAAGTGCCTCCAGGTGGCGTGTGCATGAGACGTACTGTGTGTCCCTGTGGTCCGTGCACACAACAGGAGCTAATGTCCCTTTTCTTCACACACATTTGATTTGACGACAGATTTAGACATTTCTCTTCATTTCCTTCACCATGGTTGGATTTGAGTGTTGCTTTACTCAGGTAGCCTTCTTTTGGTTCTCAGGCTTCAGTTTCATTGGTTCTTGATAATTTTTTTTTTTTGTAAACATAATGTATTTTGTCATTTAGGGATGTCACAATGTGAAATTTTACAATTATTGAGAGAAAAAGGTTTTATTGGACTTTAATCTGAGCGTTAATTGAACACAATCTGACCAGAAAGAACTGATTTAGCTGAACTACAACAGCTGAGCTGTGAAACAAGTCCCTCTCAAATGGCATTAGACAACAGTTGTTTTAGTCTCTCACTTTTTTATTGCAACTCAAACTCCTAAACAGGACCATGAACACCTACAGTATATTGATTCTCCTGAAAATGCAGCGTTTAAATCCATTTAGTATTTTTCCTTGAGTTTTCAGACTTAAAACTTTGACAGTGTTGCTAGAATGTGCATTGTGTCTCCATGGTAACTCCTAAACATTCAACGCCTGCATGATGTCACTGCAAAATGATCAGTGTTGGGAGTAACGCATTATAAAAGTAACAAATTACTGTAATGCGTTGCTTTTTGCTGTAACGCTGTAATGTAAGACATTACAGGGGAAAAAATAGTAATATTTTACTCAGTACAAATGTCAGTAACATCACATTGCTTTTTTAACCTGGATTGAAGTGGTGGGTTTTTCTTCATACAAATTCGATAAATCAATCGATATCAGGAACGATGAAACACCGGAGGTGCGCCCGTGTAGACTGTCGGGTGACTGCGAGCGAAAGGACCGACGCAGAACTCCACGCTCCACAGGGTGAACCGCAGCTGACGCCCGATCGCGCCTTGCAGACATCCTGCTCCACGGGCTCAGGGTTCTCTCAGGGGTGCTCCCAGACTCCAAGTTCTAGTCCAAGATTAGTTCTGGTTTGGTCCTGGTTTAGTGCTGGTTTAGACATGGTTCAGTTCTGGTTTAGATCTGGTTTAGTC